CAGCACTTCACTCTGCTGCCCAGCATCACTGGCAGCATGGAGGCCAGGGCTGCCTCCGGCCTCACGTGCTCAGCGGTCACCCCAGCCACGAGTGTGTACTGTCACCAAGGCCGGGCAGCGCTTATGGCAGGGCTGCGGCCGAGCAAGGCTCCCCTGGCCGAGGAGCAGCTGAGGTGGGGCTGAGCAGGAAATGCTGTAACTGGCATCCTCTGTCTAAGGCTCACAGAACCGGCAGAAGTCCAGTGTGGGTATCTGGGGCTGAACTGCTGGCACTTTGGCCAGGGTCCTGGTGATGTGGTGATGAATGAATTCATGTGCTGACTTGTAGTTTAATCTCTGTGTGCTGCCCTTTGCCCCGGATCCTAGGAGGCTCAGCCGTGCATGTGCCGTCGCCCTCCCCAGGCCGTGTGGTGTCTCTTGTGGGAATGTTCCAGTTACCTTGTGGGACATCCCCACCCAGACTCCCCTTGCTCCGGATCCCCTCTGAGAGTCTCTTCTCCTGCCAGACTGTGTCCCTTTCTGGTGACTGCTGCAGGGTATAGAGGAAGCAAGGCACCGAGCCATCGAATGCATTTGCTGACATCCCCATCACACGAGCCGGAGGTTTAGGAGACTTGGCCTATTCCCGTCCTATGTCCTGTTGTGTCAAGCATGCTGCTGGGACCAACAGGCTGGCGGTTCCATCTGCCACGAGTGGGCGGAGGAAGGAAAGGGGAGGGGGAGGATCATGGGATAGCTTGCCGTGCGAAGGAAGAGACCGGCTGCATCCTGCATGGACCTGTGGCCACGGGGAAGTGATGGCAGGAGGCACCAAGACTGCCCTGCCTCTTCCCCACTATTTGCTAGTGTTTGGCTAACTTGTGACACTGCAGTAGGGAACGCCATGTTGGGACCCTTGTGTATTATCTGTGGTATGGGCAGAGAGCAGCCCTAGTCTCGTCCTGAGATGGGTCGCGGTGGGCCACTGTGTGGCAGGTGGTGGGGAAGGTGGGCTATGAATCACGGATGGGAAGCTTTATTGTGACCTTGACCCATTGGATTCCAAAGGCTGGCCCTCGCTCAGCTCCCAGTTTGGGACTTCTGAGGTAGTCACACCCAGCCCTGCTCTGCCTGCCTCTCCAGGCCTTACTGTGGCTCTGGAGTCTGTTTAGACCAAGAGTCTCAGTCCCTTCCCTGATGGCGAATGGATCCCAGGCTGTGGGAGGTTTGGGGTGGCGGTATGGTCATTCGTGGTGGGGGCCTTGTGGGCAGTTGGTGGTGGCCATGCTCTGGACCCAGTTGTCTCCTGTAGTCGGTTCTGGTTGAATTTTCTTTTCCATCTGAACTAAACTTCTAACAAAGCCCAATGTGACTTAGGCCCTGAGAAACCCTGTGTGGGATGTCCCTGTCCCTCCTTGCCCAGCCTCAGCAGTGAGCCTTTGATTCCCTGCAGCTACAAATGCACCCTCTGCACACAGCAGCTTGGGCCTGCACACTGTCGGCGCATCATCCTGTGCGCCATCCTGCACGTGGAAATAGCATGATTTTGCACACATTTTTTTCAAGGTTTTTGAAACAGGATCTCTCTGTGTGTATGGCTGGCCTGGAACTCCTGATGTAGCCCCTCCTGCCTCTCTGCCTCTGTGCATCTTCATGCGCCCACTTACATGGTGGCTTTGAACTCGTGTGGTCATCCTTGAGTCTCTCTGTGTTTGCACTTGTGGCTTTGCCTGACACTTTTGCACACCTGTACCCTAGTTAGGGAGAGGAGAGCAAGCTAGCCAGTCCCTAACGAGTATGAGGCAGGTAAGCATAGGAGTAGCCTGGATATCACGTATTTGGGTCACAACCCTCTTCTAGCAACACTCTTGGCACCCCAGATCCTTTACCTGCCCGGGCTACACAGGCACACCCCTCTACAAACAGTGCTGCTGGCAACCTGAACCCCACTCACGGCATCGGACTGCGTGTATACCCCTTGCTAAATGAGGGCTGTTTCCCTTCTGTTTGCAACCGCCTAACTTTTTTTTTTTTTAGTATTTTTTTATTTATTAATTTATTTTATTTTATATAACAAAGTCCAATTAAATGAAAACAAACATTAATACACAATATTTGGGAATTTGGGCGTTGTTCTTTCCAAACTACTTCCTGTTGATAGGGGGTGCTGTCATGGGGGATTCGAAGAAGATGCAGAAATCCTGGCTGTAGTCTGCAAGGCTGCTTTGTCCAGCTGTTTTGAATGTAGGATCACCTGGTACTCTGTTTCAGGTGGTCTGGCTTGATCAAACCACATTAGTCTGGAAGGAAATCCTTTTCCCCAGTAACTTGTCCTTCAACTTAAATTTTAGAGTCAAAGCATTTTTTTAATTTAATTTATTATTTTACATGTCGATCCCAGTTCCCTCTCCCTCCCTCCCTCCCCTTATCCCTCCCTCCCTCCCTTTTACCCTCTCTGCCCTCTCACATGCACTCTAACCACCCTTCCCCCACCCCGATTCCATATGTAGGGGAATGCCATCCATTTGGGGTCATGTAGATCTGACAGGTCATTTGAAGTAGGGACTAGGGCTTCTCTCCTGTCTCTAGATTAAGGCAGTTATCCCTCCATGGGGGATGTGTTCGCAAAGTCCTTTTGTGCACCAGGGATACATCCTGGCTCCACTGTCTGAGGTCCCTTAGACTGCTCAGTCCTTCTGGCTGAGACCCATATTCAGGGGGGCCTGAGTCAGTCCCATGCTGGCTTCCCAGCTATCAGTCTGGTGGCCCGTTAGCTCCTCCTTGTTCAGGTAAGCTGTCTGTGTGTGTTTCTGCTGCATGGTCTTGTCCTCTCCATCTGCATCTGGGTTCTAGTTCGACTCGGTGTTTATGTATGGGTGTTTGATCCTGTTTTCAACAGGCATTAGTTGAGGGCTCCATGGAGAAGTTATTTGTTGATCTCACTCTCAGGGAAGGGCATTTATGATAGCCTTTCCACGGAAGCTCAGATTGTTAGTTGGGAGCAGTCTTGTAGTTCTCTAGACCTTTCTTTGTGTTCAATTTTATCTTCAAACCAATATTGTCTCCCTCTTTTATGTTCTCTCTGTCTCTGTCTCTGTCTCTGTCTCTGTCTCTCTCTCTCTCTCTCTCTCTCTCTCTCTCTTTCCTATCTTCTATTCATAACCAGGCTCAATCTTCCTGGTCGCACATGTTTTCCTTTCCTCCCCCTCATTTTCTCCTACTTCTCTCTCCATTCGCTGCCCCCCCCCACTTCACCTGAGCTCTGGGGAACTTGTCCCTTCCCAATTCTGTGAGGGACTTTATATGAATCTCTTAGAATACACCTCTGGTGGTGTGAATTATAGGCTGGTGATCCTTTGCTCTATTTCTAAAATCCATATATGAGTGAGTACATATTATGTTCCTCTTTTTGTGACTGGGTTACCTCATTCAGGATGGTTTCTTCAAGTGCCATCCACTTGCCTGCGAATTTCAAGATACCATTATTTTTTTCTGCAGAGTAGTATTCCATTGTGTAGATTTGCCACATCTTCATTAACCATTCTTCAATTGAGGGGCATCTAGATTGCTTCCAGGTTCTTGCTATTACAAATAGTTGAACAGATGTCTTTGTGCAACCGCCAAACTTAAAGACCATTCCATTTGCTTGTACTCTGTCCAGGCATGACACCAGAAAAGGGTGATCTGGTCTGAGCTCATATGGGGCTGCATGCAAACAGTGTCCTCGAAGTCAACTTTTGGGGAGAAAGCCCCCTGCTTATCATAAGTAGACACACATGTGATAAAAATCAAAAGCATCATGGCAAGGGACATGCACAGGGAGGAATGACGACATGACCTAATTCACGGTCAGAACAGAGACCCGCCCTCCCTATGCTTCTTAGTGACTAGACCTTCCTTCTCTTGAACCTCATGGAGGGAACCACAAAAAACATATTATTGGGTCCTTGAGTCATGTGACCTGTGGTCCCCTTTACTCTAAGTAATATTCCCTCACTACTTTTGCAAAAACAGGTTAGCTTTTTTTCTTGTTTCCTTAAATAGAAGACCAGGAGTCTGGGAACACATCACTCAGAACCAGACCACAGAACCAGACCAACCTGCAGGTTGCTACCCATCCCTAGTATGACATGCTGCACTACCTGGAATTTCCTAGGCCATCTGTTTATGTGCATCTCCCACTGTGTGCACATGTCCTTGTCACCAGCAAGGAAGGACCCAAAGGCCAGAAGCTCCCCTTTGTCCACTCAGGGCCAGCTTGCTGCACAGCCATTCCCTGTGGTGGTCTAGTGGCTAGACCTGTGTTATGTTGTGTTGTGTTCTGCAGCCGGTTCTAGTCTGTGCCAAGCTCTTGAATAGCTGATCCCAGGTGAAGGTGGCTTGGAGGGTTGGGGGTCCCTTGATGTCTATGTGTATAGTACATAATCCAAGGGCTTGGCCCACTCTGAGCAGGGAAAGGGTGAAGATTTCCTGGAGGTAAAAACACTTAACCTGAGTACATTGTTTACATCTGATATGTGTGTTTAATGTACAGTTCACAAGCAGCGTGCATCCCAGGGTAGTTATGGACACAGCCCAACATATCTGTAGATGGCAACGTAATGCCCAGTGTCAGGACTTTGGACATCCCTGGCTGAGGTAGAGGAAAACTGGGAAGAAAAGTGATGGTGGCAGTAGGCATAGCCTGTACAGAGCTCCTGGGGCAGAGGGTGGTTCATCATGCAGCCAGCCAGCCTTTAGACAACCATGGCAAAGAGCTAAGGTGGGCAGGGGCTGTGAACTATGAGGACTGTGGAGGCGTGGAGGGAGGTGTGGATCCATGGAAGGAAAATGGATCACACCGCTCATGAATTGCTCTGCGTCCTGTGATCTCTCTGTGTGTCAGGAGGAGGCCCGGAGACCGCCCAGTGCTGTGCCCAATCCCTGGGCTCTTTGCCTTATGAGTTCACTTGAGATCCTTGCCTGAGTCCCCGGAGCCTGATGATAATCCACTGAGACCCTTGCCTGTTGTTATCTTGCAGATGAGATGGACCAAACTCCCCCAGCACGTTCCGAGCCTCTGGTCTCAGGGATTCGAACTCCCCCTGTGCGGAGGAACAGCAAGCTGGCTACCCTGGGCAGGATCTTCAAACCATGGAAATGGAGGAAAAAGAAAAATGAGAAGCTGAAGCAGACCACATCAGGTAAGGGCCCTGCCAGCCAGGGAAGAGGAGGGTGGCATTGGCTGGGGGTCCCTGCATCACAGAGTGATTCAGCCTTCCTCTGGTTACTGTATCTCTCTCACTGGCCACCTGGTGGGTGGTCTCACAGGGCTCTGTACACAGCCCAGACCTGATTGGCCATGGCCTTGCTAACAGGGAGCTCTCAGCCAGTGCTCTTGGCTGACTTTTCCTAAAGATTTAGTTTCATGTGTATGAGTGTTCTACCTGAATGTACTTGTATGTATGTGTACCATGCGGGTTCCATGTTCCTGGCGCCTCCAGAGGCCAGAAAAAGGGGCAGACTCCCAGGAACTGGAGTTACAGTTACCAGCTGCCAAAGCATGCTGAAAACTGAGCCCAGGTCCTCCGGGAGAGCAACTGCTCCAGCCCCAAGGGCCTGCCTTTCTTGCTCCCAGACCACCCTCCACAAGCGCACAAATGACCCTCCCACGACCCTCACTGCTCCAGGCCCTGCCTGGGTGGTTCTGAGGGCTAAGGTCCATGCTGGGGTGCAGCTTCTGCCTGAGCAGGCAGGTGCACTCCCCAGCTGTAAGCACGGTCTCAGGATGCTCACCCCACCACCTCCTGCCCGAGGATCCACAAGCTTCCCCACTCATTTGTGCCCAGCTCAGTGGCAGGTGGGGTCGGCTTTGCTACCTCAGAATCAGTCATATGATGGGGTGACCGAAATGAGAGCTTCAGGTGCTGCTAAGCAGGCGCTGGCAGCATCTGGCAAGTGTGCCCCTCTCCATGAGGACCCCTCTCCGTGAGCACCCTTCACATGCGAGCACCTCTCACATGTGAGCCAAGCTCCTTTGAGAGAGGAAAGGACTCAGAGAGGAGGCTGCTCGCCCAGGACAGAGAGTGAGAACTTGAGCACTGGCTACCAACCCTGGGCTCCTAGAAAGCTCAGCTTCCTGAGCCACCAGCCCCCAAGCTAAGAAGCCTGGGCCTTAGGGCCCTCCTGCTGAGCTGCTTGCCTATTAGCTGCAGCTCTAATTAGTGAAGTTGCTATGTGTGTGGAGTTAGTCCCTGGCCCCAGGGACATGCCTGGCAAGTGCCTGTCTCAGGTTATTGCCTCTGGGGTCCCAGGGGCCCCAGTTTCCTGCCCAGCTCTGAAGAGACACATGCTCCAGAGCATAGAAGATGGTGGAGCCAAAACCCTGGGCATCCACAGCATGTAAGATGGCAGCAGAGGGTTCACTCTTGTGTAAACAACTTACCAAATTATTTTAACCTCTCAAGAAGTTGATTGACAAATCATTCTCGACAACAACGAGCACAAGATGAACTGTTGAAGGATTCACAAGTGCTTCCAGTGTGCCAGGCAGGAAGTTGAGGGAAGGCTGGGCCGACCACAGGTCGGCCAGGGGCTGCAGCAGGTGACCCCTGTGGCCCTTAGATGCTGTGGAATTGGAAGGTTGGGGAGACTGGATCAGTGGCTCTGGGCCCCAAGGGTCTGTAGCAATGTTCCTTCCTGGGGTTGTCAAGCTGCTCTGTGGGCCCCGAAACACAAAGTCTCTCTAGGTAACGCCTCTGGTCGCTCCCCGCTTGGGTCCCAGATTTAAGCACTTGGAAATTGGGTAGGAGCTGTGTATCTGGCCCACACCCTTATTCTCAGCCGCCCCCTCCTCCTGCTTTGATGCTGTAAATTTTAGGATGCCCAGCCCCCACATTAGGATGAGATGAGGCGGAGACCTCTAAGCCTTAAAGAGCAAGAGGGCCTGCTGTCCTTAATGACTCTGGGTCAGCAATCAGATCTGAGTCAGTGCAAGCAATGCTCTATGCCCCAACCTTCCCAGGGGGAGCATCCCAGGGACAAGCAGAGGAGGGCTGATCTGAGAGCCTCAGACCCTCTCTCCCTCCTCCTCCTCCCCCATCAGCCTGACCTCCAGGCTACCCACACTGTCTGCCCCCTCCTCGATGTCACTGACACTTGGAAAATGGTTTGGAAGTTGAGGCTACAGAAAGAAAACCCACCTTGCTCCTGCAGCATCCTGAATCCCGTCCGTCCATTCTTTGTTCTGGTGTCCCCAGTGGGCTCCCTTCTCTGCTTCTGAGACCACAGTTCAGCCTGTAGACCTGTGTCCTTTCTGACACCCAGGCCTGCTGACCACAAGTAGAGTCCAGACCTGTCCTGTTCAATGCCCAGCACACAGGGCACACGGTAGCTCAGTCAACATGAGATGAACTGTAATGGGTGAAAGGCATTATCACCCCATGCTCCACAAGGGATGGGGGCAGATTGGTTTCCCTCCAGGGACTTCCAGCACCTCACTCAGAGGTGGCTTCAAGTCCATGCTTGGTAAATACTTTAGAACCTATTATTTGCATTGTCAGCCCTTGTGGATACACTAAGCTCTGAAATGTGCACTGGCTGTGTTCTTGGCCACTTGCCAGAGTTTTGTCCCACATAGCCAGTGGCTTTGGGACCCCACTGACAAGCAGGCTCCACTCTGAGCTTTCAAAGAAACCATCTAAGACCTAAGCAACTATGTGGTTTAGTATTTGAGGTTCACCTGTAGACAAATGAAGGCTGTGTGTGTGTGTGTGTGTGTGTCTGTATCTGTGTGTGTGTGTGTGTCTGTATCTGTGTGTGTGTGTTTGTGTGTCTGTATCTGTGTGTGTGTATCTGTGTGTGTGTTTGTGTCTGTATCTGTGTGTGTGTATCTGTGTGTGTGTGTGTCTGTATCTGTGCGTGTGTGTATCTGTGTGTGTGTGTATCTGTGTTTGTGTCTGTATCTGTGTGTGTGTTTGCATCTCTGTGTGTGTTTCTGTGTGTCTCTCTGTGTCATTGCTTGGACCTGAGTCAATGCAGGCAATGTTTTGTGTCCTAGCATGCCTTCTGGGAACACCCTAGCGACAAAGGAGACTTGACCAGAGTACATCTGGTAGTGGACCCTCTAGATGCTGTTCCCTGGGGTTGGCTGAAAGATGCTTCCCGAGGAGAGGAAGCTGAGCTAGCCACAGACGGGCCTCCTGAGCACTGGGGGTAAAGGGAGGGTGACTCCATCTCCTGTGAGTATGGAGCTATCATAGAGGGTGAACATGGCCTCCGGACCAGAGTCAAGGAGGGCATCATGAAAGTACATTACAGAAATAATATCCTGAACATGTCCCGTGTAGCTGGAGTTTTGGACATTGCTTATAAGATGGCTTAGGTAGTAAACTCAGAATTGGTGTCCCCCACGCAGTCAGAGAACAGGTCCCCAACCTCAGGCACTACCATCTCCCTGTCTCTTCCTGTTCCCCAAGAGCACATGGTGGTGGTGCGGTAGGTAGGCCGGCACTGTCTCCGTCTGTGACTTAACTAGGCATTTGTGTGTTCTGCAGCCCTGGAGAAGAAGATGGCTGGCAGGCAAGGCCGGGAGGAGCTCATCAAGCAGGGGCTGCTAGAGATGATGGAACAAGGTAAGCAGGCTTCTGGGAGGGTGGCAGACCTAAGCGGGGCCCTGAGGGGACACTGAGTGTAGTCACACGGGTACAGGGGACAGGCGGTGGGGCCCTCAGGAGTGGGGCCCCTGATGGAGACTGTCAGGCCTGATGGCTCTCAGCGCCCAGGAAAGCCAACAGAGAAAGAAGGGTTTTCCTGTGGCCAGCTGGGGGCTGTTCTCCACTTCGCCAAGGGTGGAGTGACAGCTTGAGTCAGGAGCTGAGGTATCGAGCACCCACGTCCTCCATGGATGTTCGCAGTGACTGCTTCCCAGGGCCTGTGGAGGGTGCTCCTTGAACATCCTGCTGTCGGCCAGCCTCGAAGCGGCAGCCATGGGTTTTAATTTGAGTGGTTCACACATTAAATCCTCGATTGAACAAATGATGACTAACCCTGTGGCGGCCTCATAACTAGCATTTCTGACTGTGGGCAGGCTTGGCGTTCTGCGCACCTCGCCCTTGGGTGCCGACGCCAGCCCCGCCCACAGCCGTAACACGCAAGCGGAAGCCCGGTGCAACCCTGGGTGTCTCGGCGTTGGTGGGACAGGCCCCATGTCCTTGCTCAGGTTGGCCAGTGTCAGCAGCAGCAGCAGCACACTTCAGGCCCATCCTCCTCCTGCCGTGTTGGGGTCCTGTCAGATCCTGACCCTTGCCCTCGATGCTTTGTGGCTCTCTCAGTCCGTAAGCCTTGGTTGGTGGGGTGGGCTCGCAATCCCTCCTTGTTCTAAAATCTCTCTGGGCTGGAGTGTGCCCTGCGCCTCGGTTGGGCATCTGCAAAGCAGAGTTTGAACACTTGCATCAAACTACTCTCTCCTGCTTTCTGCTGGTGTCTGCAGCTTGACCCAAGTAGCAAGAATTAGGAAGGGAACTCAGGAAGTAAATGAGGTTTTTGTTTTGTTTTGTTTTTCTGGTGTGGCCCACAGATCTGTAGATTCCCTCACTTCCTGAGTTTTGGTACAGGACAGTGTGATGATGCCATGTTCAGGGGGCAACTGGCCAGGTTGATTGTATAATGTCTTCAGTGCCACACAAAAGGAAACTCTGCCCTGTGGTCTGTGGCCCGTGGCCCGTGGCCCGTGAATGTTGAAAGCCCCACTTTTAGTTTGGAGTGGGTCCTCAAAGCATCCAGGGTTGTGCATTTGAACACATGGTCACAGGGGGAGGGGCTCACACAGCAAGTGATACCTAGAATGTTGTGAAATCTTTAGCGAGTGCCTCCCTGGGGGAGTGGCCCAGTTTCTAGCCAGGCTTCTCTTTTTGCTGTCCCTCAACGGTGGAGGCAAGCTACCTCACACCCCAAGTGCCACCAGTCACACACTGTCACTCCTTTCCGACCATGGCGGATGGCAACTCAGATAATCTGCCCTTTGTAAGTTGTGTCTTGTTGGGTGTTTGGTTATGGTGATGAGGGTAGTCACTAAAACAGCCTTCTTGCGGGCAGCACTGCGTGAGCAGAAGTTATGCCCTGTGACGACTGAGTGCATAAGTTCTCTCTCTCTCTCTCTCTCTCTCTCTCTCTCTCTCTCTCTCTCTCTCTCTCTCTGTGTGTGTGTGTGTGTGTGTGTGTCTCTCTGTCTCTCTCTCCCATTGTCTCTCCTCTTCTCTCCATCCTGAGGCTCTGTCCTCATGACCTCACTGAACCCCAACCATTTCCCAGTTACAAGGCTGTTGCGTTAAGCTTCTGCCCTACATGCCATTAACCTATGACTTACGGACTTACGCTCCTGCCAGAGTTGGTGGGGCCTGTTGGTCACAGGGGGCATGCAGTCCTGCCCAGTCACACATCCCTGTTGTTCTGAGGCAGAAACAGACACAGAGAAATACGTGCTTAGCAGGCATGGCTGGCTATGCACCAGGAAACCTCATTTATGGCTGTGAAGATTTCAATTTTCAATCATTTCATGAATCATGAACCATTATCTTTCTTTTGATTTCCTTCCCAACTGTTTAAAGATGTGGGGTCCATTCTTAGCTCAGGGACACATAAAACAGGTGGAAGGCTGACCCGGGCCTGGCCTGCCTCCCACACAACACCCTGTCAAGCCTGCAGAGTGACTGGGACTACAATGGCCAGGAGAAGTCTCCACCTTAGGTAGCTGAGCATTGAGGTGTTAATGACGCTACAAAGTTTTAGGGAGTGCCCACGCTGCGCCAGGGTCTGCGTTAGTTGACAGACACACCAGCTACTGAGAAGCTATCTTCCCAGAATACAGAGCCTGTGGGACACAGGCCTCAGGGGGCCCTACAAATACAAACCACAACTGAATGAATAATGGCGAGAAAGGACACACAACGGGCACACATCGGGCACTGGGAGGCCTTGCCATGGGGTTTGAGTGGTGCCAGGTGTGAGAGATGTTTCTGGACAACAGGTGAGTGAGGAGCCGAGCGTGGCTTTCATTTGGTTGCACCACGGGAGTGCACAGGTGAACTAGTTTTGCTCCTCTGCTATTGGGCAGCTCTTCAATCAGGCTCCCTGGGGTAGGACCACAGCCAGTACTTGATAAGCCTCTCCAGCTGACTCCAGCTTCCTACAGAGATGATGGGGAGTGGCTTTCCTCGGTGTGGAGACTGTCTAGCCAGCCCTGGGAGCAGTGAGTACCAGGTCTCAGGGTGCAGGGGCTCAGGGTAGGGACCAGGAGGGCTAGAGGACAGTGAGGGACAAGGACTTAGGTGCAAAATGCCCCTTTCTTCCGTCCAGGGCTGGGGTGACGGGGACATGCCCAGGCTGTCCCAGGGATAAGGTCTAGGGGTATGCAGAGGGCTTGTCCTTGTCTGTGAGCAAAACTAGTGTCTCAGACTGCAAAGCCAAGGGCCGCTGGGGTTGTTTCTAGACACGGGGGACTTGCTTTTCCCAGGACACCATGGGCTGGAGGCCTTTACCTGTCTTTAACTATGCATCATATGTAAACCTCTGCTGGGTGAAGTGCTGAGCTAGGGAGGAGCCAAGCTGGGCCCTGAGCACAGAGGGTCATTTTAGCCAGGACTGGACTTCATGGCTGATGGTTACTACTGCACCTTCCAAGTCAAGGAGCCCTGAAGCCCAGAAAGGGTCAGCATGGTGGATGTGGGTGTTAGGGTAGATGAGGACAACTTTTCAGACTATAGTTATGGATTCTGGCCCAGCTCCACTTTCCCACAGCTAAGAGGGATCAATTTGCAGCCAGGGGTGCCCCCTTGTGGTCAATCTCTCTCATGGAGCCTGTCACAAGGAGAGCAGACATCATTGCCAGGCAGGCAGCTCAGGAGGCTGCGGAGGGGCAGTGAGAGGGAGGGGAGCCCTGGTCACAGATGTCCCCAGACCTCCTCAGTAGACCCAAGAACTCGTATCCTATCTTCCTGGAAAGCCCTGCACCTCACACCTACAACTGTGAAGGGACACACATACACGATCTCCCTGGAGCGTGTTTGTGAAGCAGCCCAGCAGAGGGAATCATTTGTCCTCTGAACAGGGGCGGCAGGAGAAACCCCGAATGTCCCCGGGAGCGCCAAGTACACCTTGTTCTCTTTCAGTGCATTGTTTTCCAGGCATGGTTAACCAATACACACCATGAGCACCTTGGCCCTGTCCCTCGCATCTCTGCCATGCTGGAATCTGCTGAGTTGCAGGAGGGACCTTGTTTGTGGCGCTGCTGCAGGGAGAAGGGGCCTTTTCCCACTCGGCCTCCTGGGCCCATTTTCCATGTCTGAGAATGTCTCCAAACCCACCTTCTCCAGTAGGAACAGGGTCCTGCCCACTTCTGCTGCGGACAATACTCATTTCTTGACTGGTTCCCCCCCCCCCTTTACCCTGTACCTGTGGATTTGATATTTTCTTCAACAACCTAAGGACTCTCATATCCCAGCATTGGATATTTTATAAGAGCCACATTCCATTATTGCTGTGTTCACTGACTCGGGGGTCACGAGGCTCCCAAGGACTGGGACAGTGGAAGTCTGTCCGGTTTCTGTATGTTTGCATGCTCACTGTCCGGTATGCATACAAGTGCTCCCACTGTGAACATGCATGCACATGTGTCTGTGCATGTCTGTGTGGGGTTCCTCTCACATAGCTGCTCGGGGTAAAGCAGATGCATAGTTCTGCGTTCCCCTGCAGCTCTGGGGAGAGAGGAGCAGAGATGGAGAGAAAGGTTGGCTGGAGGAGGCCAGCGGACCCAGAGAGACGGACACGAGAGCCCCACCCAGCGTTTCTTAGCAACAGGCCTTGCCACCAGGACTATTTTGGGAACTGCAGCGTCTCACTGAGTGTGATTCTAGGCAGGAGCTCTATGCACAGTCCAGAACAGGACAGCCGGGCTGCTGAGTTGCAGGGCCAGGCAGTCCCATGCCTGCACAGCCTTACTGGGCCCGCTGGGCTGTCAGGTGTGGCATCTGCCATTTGTGTGGATTGTTATAGTGGTGATGGTGACGTGGTTGTAGTTAATAGCAGACAGGGCTTGAGTACACCTAAGCAGTGAACAGTTGTGTTGCTCACACACACAGGGCAGTGGGGGCTCAGAGTGGTGGGACCTGCCACATGCTCACCTGTCTCTGGCACAGCACCCACCCTGGTGGAGGTAACAGTTGTTGGGGTGTTGTTAGGGTCAGAGCCTAGGCTCTGGCAGTCTCTAAGAAGCCTGGTGCATGAACCTGTCCTCAATTAGGCCAATTGAAGAGATGGAAGAACAGAGTGGCCCCTCGACTCCCTAAGCCCTGAGGGGAGTGTTGGGTTTAAACGAAGGCAGGAGGGTGCACAGCAAAGCCATCATGATCTGGGCGTGGCCCATCAGCCCCACCACGCCCTTGCTGTCTCTATAGCAAGGTGGTCTGACAAGTTGTCAGGGCTGCGTGGGATCTCTTCCTGGGAGGCGAGGCCCCCTAGCTGGCACAGGCTTCACCTTCTCCCCCTCCCAACATGAGATCCCTTCTGTATGTCAGACTGTTTCACTGAGCAGCCACAGTGAGGACACCTGCCACAGAAATATGTGTGAGCATGTAGCATACATGCACAGTGTATACATGTAAATACACACATGTGAACATACGGAACACATGCATAGTGAAAGTATGTGTGCACTGTATGGGATATGTGTGTACATGCATGCACGGATAGGCACAGAGGAACACACACACACAGGAGCACACACATACACACACATGCATGCACAGGAGCACATACACACAGGAGCACACATGCACAAACTGAGCACACACATGCACACACACAGATGAACACACACACACACAGGAGCACACATACACACACAGGAGCATGCACACACACACACACACACACAGGAGCACACACACACACATGCATGCACAGGAGCACATACACACAGGAGCACACATGCACAAACTGAGCACATACATGCACACACACAGATGAGCACACACACACACACATGCATGCACAGGAGCACATACACACAGGAGCACACATGCACAAACTGAGCACACACATGCATATACACAGATGAGCACACACACACACACAGGAGCACACATGCACACACAGGAGCGTGCACACACACACACACACACACAGAAGCACACACACCCCACCCTGTCTTACTATAACATGGAAACTATCAGACTTACCAGTGCTTAGATTCCAGAGTGCCTCATGATGTCTGGGTCACCATGCTCAGCATCGTGTCATGTCATCCCTCTAGGCATTTTCACAATGCCTGCAGAGCCTGGCAACAGAGACTGTGTCAGAGGTGTGCCAAGCACAAGCAAGCCAGTCACAGGGGACTAAAAATTCAGTCTTGAGCTTGGTGACATCTGGTCCTATGTCCTTGGCTATGCTGACCTGACCTTCCCTCGCAGCAAGCGTCAGAAGCCAGATGTGGTCCAGGGCCTTTGGTCCCTGCTAAGAGGCTTCTGAGGCTCGCCAAGGCCTTTGTGTGAGGAAGCTGTAGGAGAGGGCAGGCCATGAGTACCAGCAGTGAGTGGTCACTCTGGGATATCTGCTGCTGTTTCTGTCCTTGGAAGAGGCAGCTGGCCTTGCCAGAACCTCTGGGCAAGGGACGTGGCCCAAAGGGGAACTTGCCAAGCACAGATGCCCAGGGCCAACCTCTTAAGAATGTGTCTTATTCTTCTGCAGATGCATAGCAGGTGATTGACAGGCAGTTGCTTCATGGTGACTGACAGTCAGTGGTGGGTACAGAGGTGAAGAGCTGTCTGCAGCCACACTGTGTAACAAGCCTTGCACCTCAACCAGCAGCCAGCATCTGTTGCCACATGTCAGATGTCCCTGGCCCAGCTGCCTGAGTCTGTTGTTGGGGTGAGGACCATGGTACAGGAGGGATAGAGTGGGACAGACAGAATTTTGAGGTCATTTTAAAGGCGCGTGGCAAAGGGGAGGGAGTTGGTGGGAGTCACCAGTCTCTCATAGGTGTTAAAGTACAAGGATGCACACCCTTGGGTGTGAGGGTACCAGGCGCTTCTGCAAGCACAGTGTGGAGAAAGGAGCTCCCAGTGGCGTGTGGGGTGCCATGTCAGGGCATCTGTAGCATCCTCTGCGCGAAGTCCTGTGTGTCGAAGAGGGTGTAAAGGCTCTGGCTGACAGACAGCTGAATTTCTTTGCAGATGCTGAAAGAAAAGCATGCAGTCCCGATGAAGGCCCCCAGCCTGCGCAGAGCGAGCCGGCCACCGCTGAGCAGGAGACACTGACCTCGGACGATGTCCAGCCTGGAAGTCCCTTGGCCAGTGGGACAGATCAGGCCACCGGGGATGAACTTCTGTCCTCCGATGCCCATCTGGATGACACAGGTACCAGCTGGAGATGCAATAGTCTGAGCTCTCCTCAGCGAGGGCTTAGACAGTCGCCTCCCCGTCAAGACTGGGCACCTCCTCCGTCCTGCCACCCTGAGCCGCGTTCATGTCAGGGGGACCTAAACGTCCCCTGGATCTCTCTTCTCATGGATCCTCCCAAACTGGGTGCAGGAAAAGTGAGGGACCTAAGAGGGCTATGGATGAGCTCCTGCCACGCGTCAGCTGAACTCATCAAATACAGGGTGCGTGTCAGGCAGCCGCCAAATGGGTCTGTCCTGGGGCAGACGGCCTCTTTCCCCGAGAGGTGCCAGAGCAGGTGTGTGTAGTCGGGGAGCCTTCTGTGCTGCTTGTGGCCTGCATGAGGCTCTCTGCAGTTTCTCAGACAGGTGGCTCTGCCATTTGGGTCCTCTGTTACACAGGAGAAGTTAACAGGATTAACATCAGGGTTGTGTAGAGCATGAAAGAACTCACTCGGAACCGTGTCCACAAGCACCCAGTGTTGGTGGAGTAGGGACCAGGCTGGCGTTTCTGTTGTGAGGGAGCAGACAGGACCTTTGGTAGAGAGAAGGAAAGCGCAAAGGAGCTCAGGCCACACTCACCTCCTGGCTAAGCAGTGCCTTAAGCTACCTTCTGAGACATCAGTGTAGCCCGGGGATCCCGTTCTCGCTCATGCTGCCCCATGTCTGAATCCATGCTGACCAGTGCGGGGGCTGGAGCCTGAACCGCACGCACATCTCTCTAGGGGTGGGAACCCAGGCTGAGGGTGAAGCCTCTGTCCGTCCGGGCTGCCACTCCAGCCCCATGGATGTTTGCTCTCTGGCCTCTCCTTCACGTAGCCAGTGCCACTGGGCGCTGTTTGCTAGCTGTCTGTCCCCAGATTCCCTGCCATGTTGGCATCTGCTCATGGTGCATGTCCTCTGCCTCTCAGGTTTCACTCGGCTTGGGGACACACTGGGGGTTTGGCGTCTGAGGAGGGAAAGCCCCAGCTGGGGTACACCTGTCACTCCTTGAGTCCCAGGCAGCTGACCTAATAGGGCTGTGGTTGGCATAGTTGTAGTGACTGTGAGTGGAGCCTGAAATCTGTGGTCACTGTCCCCTGCCCTGGACACACACCCACATGATGGGCTCTCTGTCCTCAGCTCTCTGTTCTCTCTTCCTCTTTGTCCCGACTTGGGCTCTGAATAGCTGCGGATGATGCCCGTATCTGACCTCAGACGCTTTTGAGGTTCAAGGCTTGGGGATGGCCTCCTGGGAGCTGAGTGGGTCTGCTGAGGTCAGCATGTCTTATGCTGGCCTCCAGAGCCAGGGCAGGACAGGTCCTGGCAGAGTGAGGGGATGCTCGCCCCTGGAGCGGGGAGCATACTCAGCAGCAGGGGACAGGATTGATGTCTTTTCTGTGGAGGGCCACAGTGAATGCTGTTGTCTCGGGGATTGGGACACCTGACTGGGGCAAAATGCATCTGCTCCAAATCAGCAGGGGTGTGTGAATGAAGGGCTCAGCACATTGCTGGAGATTGCTCCTCTGCTACTGACCACAGGCCGGGCTGGTGGCCTTGGTCACCTGAGAAGTGGGGGTGACTAGGGAGTTGAAGATGGTGAAACATGCCCTGTGTTGGGGTCGACGCTGATAGAAGGATGGCAGCTAGTCCGGGAACAGCCCAAGGGCAGCAGGACATCCGGTACAGAGTGACAAGGGGACTTAGCTGATGATGAGCTACGGGCTGTGGTCGTCAAAGTGATGCCTGGCTCATGGATCTGAGGGATGCAGGCTTCTCGTTTTCCCAGCTGAGAAGGAGGGTCCTGAACCCTCAGGGATGTGAGAACACTTGATGGGTGATGTGGACAGACAGAAAACATCTCCGCAATGCTTTCCTTACTTTCACTAATTAGTGCCAATGGCATAAGGAATTCTCGCCCTGGGTCTTGGGTGAGTTCATCTCCCCCTCTTCCTCTGTGTGTGTGTGTGTGTGCACGTGCGCCTCAGTTTGATACTGGAAATCTTCTCTGATCCCTCTCTTTGAAGCAGAGACTGTCAAACCCAGAGCGAGCCAATATGATTGGTCTCACTCTCGGACTTACCTCCTGAGGCTGAAATCGCAGGCCAGCCACCACGCCCATCAGCTTGTATGTGGGTTCTGAGGATGCTGGCCCTGGTCTTCTTACTTGCATGGGAAGTCCAGCAGGTGGTAGGGAAAGGTTGGGCATTCGGGTGAGGTTCTTGTGACCCTTCCTGCCTCTCTATGAGATCATGTAGACAGTCAGAACACCCAGCTGGGACGGAGGATCTTTCCAGCTGTGCTACAGCTGACTTTACCAAGATGATGACTGCTTTGCTTGGCTCAGAGAACAGTCACTCACAGCACCCGAACTGTTTCTTCTGAGCCACCGAGTCACAACCCCACTGGGTCCTGGGCTTTGCCCCCTCCTGTGGAGGTCGAGGGGTTTGGAGCCTATGCTCTACCTTCTGCTCCTCACTTGAGGCTCTGTTATTTAGTGACTGAAACCTGAGGCTACTGTGGTCCTCATCTTTCCCTTAGAGCTAGGGAAACCAGATTCTGATAACTCTCCTTACTGTCCCACGTCCTGCTCTGTGCCCGAGGAAGCAGCCGCATCTGGGCCCCGTCCTTCTGTGAGGAACTGATTTCATAACAGACAGATGCCATCCGACAGCAGAGAAATCCAGATCAGACAAGCACTATCTCCTTCAACTTCTCCATGACCTTGGTCCCCAACATTCAGGTTCTTTCTAGAAGTGTCAGGGTCAGATGCTTTCTCTTAGAAATTAGATCTTCCCTGAACTGAGGATGGAGACAGGTCATCAGAAAGAACACGGAGCTGTTATAGGCCCTGGCTCCAAAGGTTCCTTTCCTGTACATGTGACCCCAGGACCACATCCCTCTGAGCTTAGCCCCTGCCTCCTGTCTCCTACTGGTTAGAGTAGTGAGCCTGGAACTTCCTCAGGAAACCCAGATTTCTCTAGTGCATGTTGTGACTCATCATGTGACTAGTCACATACTATTGGTCACATGACTATTTTATCAGTGCAAAACAGTTGAGCTTCAGACCTCCAATCACCCTAGCTACTTGCCGGGTGTCAGTGGCCTCTTGTGGCCGAGGCTAACACATGGATGGGGGCACTGATCTATTGAGCAGTGCTGAGAGGGAGAAGTAGCCATATGTCCACCCTCATGTGAAGCCAAGAGAGATTTTGCTGTTTGGGTTGGCCAGACCTTCTGGAGCTTTCTATTCCAACAAAGGCTATAATTGTGGCAAAGCCCATGTAATCCATGCTGAAAGTGATTACCATCTGGCCATCTACAGTGAAACTTCCGGCCTCTGATTTAGGGAATGGTGTTTGGGCTGGGGAGGAGGCGAAGACTGAGTTTTGGAGGGTAGAGGAAGCTTGGCTGATGCTACATGAGCCAGGTCCCTGAAGGGTCCTGGTAGCTCTCTCTGGGGATACTGGGCATCTCTGAGAAGGATGGGGTGGAGCTGACAGAACTTTTCCATGATTTGCAGGGAAGAGACGGGCTGTGATGTGGAAAGGATGAGACGGGCTGTGATGTGGAAAGGATGAGACGGGGCGGCGTGGGTTGTTGGCTGATGGGTGGTGAAGCCATGTGGGACTCAGCCCGGGAAGGCTGGGGCTCTGCCTCCTCCAGCACTGTCTGGAGAAAAGCCCCTGGAGCTGGGTGGTATTCGGCAGGATGGTGGACAAGAACGGAAGATGGTGCATGCATTTGCGTGCATCCTGACCTCAACATGGCTGGAGACTAATTGCCCAAGACTGAATACTGAATGCCCATCTCCTGTCTTTTAGACCTCTCTAGTGCTGGGGTTAAAGATGTGAGCTCTGCATCCCTTTTAGACTGATTCACTCTAGGGTGGCTTTGAACGACTCAGAGTTCCATCTGCCTCAGTTTCCTGAGTCCCAGGATTAAAGGTGTAGCCACCACTGTCCAGTTTATGTGGCTGTGCCTTTGCTTTCCGATCTTCAGTGACTTTATTAGATCATAAACGATGTATCACCACACACCTAGATCTCACAACCATTTTTACTCCAAAAAAAAAAAAAAAAAAAAAAAAAAAAAAACACAGGAAAAAAAAATTCTTTTAACATCATCAAGGCAAAAACTAAATGACATAATGAAAGGTGAAGACTTTAGGTGCCAATCATTATAGTTAATGGGGAAGAATGATTGTTCCAGAGTCCAGGGTCCTCTAAAAGGAAAAACTGCGTTTAGCCGTTGACACTTCAGGGAAAATTTAAGCCATGAGCAGACAAAACAAGGTGTTCACAGGCATCCGCACAGGGCAGGGATACAGCGCTTAGGGCACAGGTCTGACTACTCTGGTGACAGAGCTGTCAGCTCTGCAAGGCCTTCTGGGATTTTGCTCATGGGGGGGGGAGTTGGACAGCTTTCCCTGGACACAAAAGCTACACCCCCGTTTACTCGAAAGACCTGGTGACAGGAATTGTGTGTTCTCTCCCTCTCCCTCTCCCTGTCCCTCTCCTCCCTGTCCCTCTCCCTCTCCCCCCCTCTCTCTCATGCACAGGCAGTTCTAAAAGCCCAAAGGGTTTCCCTGGATGCTCTCAAGGCAGGGAGGGGCCTTCAGGACCATGGACAGTGCTCAGGTCTGGCAAACAGGGTTGACTGAGTCCCAGTCAGTGGGGATAATAGTCCTGCCCCTTCTTACTAGGCAGCTGTGTGCTCAGTAAGTGCCTTCCAGAAGGCTTGGTACCTTGAGTTTGTGCTGTCAGAGCAGGAAGTGAGGGGCTGTCTGTTTGTGATGGAGAGAGATGGCTACCTTGAAGGGGAAGGATAGTAGGTGTGTTTGATGAGGAAATTGAGCAGTCTCATACCTCTGATGATCTCTATTTCTGTTGCAAAGGTTCATATGGAACTGAGTGACGGGATGGAGGGGCCACGTCAGCAGTTGGAGATAGGACCAGGCAGCAGATGCTGGATGCGGTCACCTGAAGGAGAGACCTGCTGGGGGGGATGGTGGTTGGCGGGGGTGGGGCGTTCAGTACTGAAGGGCGGTTTCATCCAGAGAGGCAGAGAGGGCCTTCCTCAGAGCACGGCCAGTGACAAGCTGGTCAGAGGATGCCGGGCTGTTGGGATGGCAGTGTGGTCTGGGCTCCTTATAAAGAATGGCGAGAGGGAGAGGAGAGTGGACCAGGAAGAGATAGGGTGGTCAGTGGGAGCTCACAGAGGAGGAAGGGCCTGTATGAGCGACTTGAGAGAGGACAAATGCTCTCTGGTGGGCTGGGCTGACCTTCCCTGGAGGTCCCATCCTCCCTGCCTCCACCGCCTCACGTAGAGTTGTGTGCCGGGGCAGGGCTGCTGTAATCCAGACACAGGAAAGTTGGCGTAAGGTCTCCGTGTATCAGACATTCGCGTAGACCCGTGCTTTCTCCTGAAGCTGTCACTCTTGCTCCTCTTGATTTTGAGACATGGTTTCATGGCAGAGCCTAGACCGGCTCCCCTCAATTAGGGATCCTCGGGAAGAAGTGTGTCCCTCCCTTTCTTTAAACCTTGACCTAATCCTGTGCGAGGCTGTCACCTCTAATGCAGTCACTGATAGTAAGCAGGAGCACACAGTTTTAGTACCAAGCCAGGCCTAGGAGTACATGAGCATCCAGCTTGTGCTCACTTCTCTAACTGTAGGATCTGTCAAGGTGGCATGCTCACACATGTGAGGAGCCCATGACATGCTCACACATGTGAGGAGCCCATGACATGCTCACACATGTGAGGAGCCCAGGCCTGCTGTGTGGGGAGCATGTGCTCACCTACCTGTGTTTGAGACGACTTCCTGACTCCCTCTGTTTCTCATGCTGGCTTCTTGTTCACCGACTGCCCGGACAATGAAGCTCACTCATGGAGGGATCTCAGTGTGTTTTCCCTCCACCAAGACTTCTACCACCAGGTCTAGCTTTCTCCCAGCCATGTATGGTAGCCTCATTAAATACTCCATTTTGCCTTTGAAACAGCCAAGATGCCTTCTGCATCCAGTGCAGAAGAAGCAGATGATGGCAGCACCCTGCCCACCGCTGATGAGCTCTCTCAAGCCTTAGCTGGGTCTGACTCGCCGGACAGTCCTCCCAGACCCCTGGAGAGATCTGCAAGCCAGCTTCCCAGCCCCCCACTGCTGCCCACCCCGCCACCCAAGGCCAGCTGTAAAGCCACAAAAACTGTCACAGGTGGGTCTGCATGTCCTTCCTCATCTCTGCACCCCTACCCATCCTCCCCCCCCCTGTCTGTGTCTTCAGTCCATCTTGCCTGGCCCGGGTTCCAGGCCACACCTCCAGCTCCTTCACACAGTTTCACTAACTAGAAACCAAGCATGCAAATATATGATCCTGTTGCGTCCATTCCCATTCAAGCCACCACATAGACCTTGCCTCCCCCTGGCTTTCCTAGAAGAATGTTTGGCAACGTAGGATGTGACTGGTGGAATAAGGAAGGGGTAACCCTAGCCCTAACCCTAACGGTCCCTACTGGAGTCTTCAGTGGAGGTCATCCTGACCTTAGCTACACTTTAGATATCTGGCCTCCAGAACAGAGGGGGCCATGCTGTTGTTTTAAGCTGCTCCTCAAAGGGATGAGCAAAAGTTTGCCCAGACCTTGCAGAAGGACATTGCCTTTGACACCACAGCATCCCCTTCCCCCACCAACAGAATGGTACTGTGGGTGTAGGGCCTTGGGGGGTCATGTCCTGGTCTCTCCCCTGGGAACAGAGTCTGGGCTGGAGCCTCTGTGTGGCCGGGTGACCTGGCAGGGTGTTAGGAGTGTACACCCTTACACCTTTCAGGGTTTGGCCCCTGTGCGGATGGTGATGCTTGTGCACACTCCTGCTCCACCCCAGGTCAAGCTGCACTCTTCCAAGGCGCCAGCATGAAGGGCAATGAGCCGGCTCTCCGAGGACAGCTTGCCACCCCCACCGGGTCCCCTCATCTCACCACTGTGCACCGGCCACTGCCCCCCAGCCGCGTGATTGAGGAGCTTCATAGGGCACTGGCCACTAAGCATCGCCAGGACAGGTGAGGCTTGACCCCACACACTTGTGGTATCCGTGGGGACCCTTCCTAGTCCCCCAGAGCCTGGCTGGGTTTATTGTTCCACTGGAACCTTCTTGATTTTCTTAGTAGCACAGAGGCCATGCACATGCAAACCCAACCAGGATATTCCCTGCCTGATCCCTTGGGGGGGTTAGGGGGAGGGGGAGAGTTGGGGACTTCCTGGGAAGGAACAGATAGGAGAGGGGGCTGTTCTTAGCTGAGGACTCTGAAGGCCCCAGGGACCCAATGATGAGAGTACAAGTGGCCGTAGCTCAGTTGATTTGATGGCTTATGGCTGGTGTGAAGGAAAGAGGCCTTCCTGGAGGAGAGCTGGCCCGTAAACCACACACTAATTTGGTGGCATATTGGAGGAATGCAATGTCTTTCTCAGGTCTCTGAAGCCATTTGTCTGAATGCTTGAACTATACTTCATCAGGGTTTAGCAAATGGCCTCTTTCTAGACAGGGCACAATGCACAGCCAAGTACTGTAGGCTCAAAGCCCCAGATTCCTTTCAAATCTCCCTGCAATAGGTGCCCAGGACTGAGAAATCATTTGGGGCCACTGCCACTGGAGCGTCCACCAGGTCCTACATCGACTCCTGTGCGAAATGTGCACATGTAACATGAACCATCTTTCCCATTCAGTTTTCAAGGACGGGAATGTAGAGGGTCTCCAAAGAAGTGGATGGACATGCGTCTGTCCAGGACATCCAGCATGGAGCGAGGCAAGGAGAGGGAGGAGATGTGGAGCTTTGACGGGGCCTCAGAGAACAAGCGGAGTGCCAGCAAGGACTCAGAGGAGAACAAGGAGAATCTGATGCTGAGCTCCGAGCTCAAGGACGACCTGCTTCTGTATCAGGATGAGGAGGCCCTCAACGACTCCATCATCTCCGGTGAGGAGGGCAATGGCCAGGGGAGGGACACCTGCCCATGGAGGCTGGTACTTTTCTGCTAGTCATTGGCTAGAAGGGGCAAAGTAGAGGGCCGGCACTGAAGAGATGGGGACTGCTTTGCTTTGGAAAGTGGGCTGTTCCCTGGGGGCGGGGATACAAGGTCCAGAAGGACTTTAAAGATGCTGGGTGAACTTGTATCTGGAAGGTTGGATGTTTCAATTGATGTTGGCAATGCATACAATGGGCTGTGAGTGAACTTGAAATAGCACCCCTAAGCATGGCCTGGCCAAAGGCATAGAGGTAGTGTACACGTGGCCAAGGTCCTACATTTATGACCTGGTTAAAGGCATGGAGGCAGTGTACACGTGGCCAGCGTTGTACATTCTGATTTAAAACTAGATGAAAAAAGAGAAGATGGGAAGACAAGTAATTGACTGACCTCCCAAAGCCGCCACATCAGGAGTGATGTAGACAGACAGATGGACTTACGGAAGACAGGATTTTCACAGGGTTTCTGAGTCTCTGTATTCTCCAGGGGGGAGGCAGAATTCCCTGATGCTTGCACAGGGAGACCAGGAGTCACTATCAGGATGTGTAACCTGGGGTCTTTGATTCCTAAAAGCAAGTGCAAACAGCTGCTGTCATTTACTTGAGTGTGACCGTGACTCTTATGAGATGCACGTCTTTAAGATTAAATGTTTGGAAGACGAATTCAGCACCACTTCCCCCATTCAGAAAAAGAAAGAAAGAAAAAACAAACACATATAAATGTTGCCTTGGGGAGGATGATCGTCCTCAGTGGGGACTTTCCATGAGACCATTCTTCCTTGCTGACTGAGGACGCTGTGGGTAGCCACCTAACTTGAGACCCATTCTCACCAACTCAGCCGCTGTGTGGTGTAAAGACGCGAGAGGGGAGGCTGCCGTGGATCTGTGACATGTATCTCACACCCTCCTCCCATCAGCAGGGGTCAAGGTTCAGTCCTCCCAACAGTGAGGGTCAAGGTTCACAATCTGTCACATATGTGTACTCTTGATGCCCTATTTGAATGTTCCAAGAAAATTATTTTTTCTTTTTTGAGATCCCTTGCCTTAGAACTTAATGTTTGTTTGGAAACAATAGAGGCCTCTTTAGGGGCAGGCCTGGCTTCTGAGTGGCTGGGATGTGGGCCATCTGCTGGCCACACTATGTGCTGTAGATATTTGCTATGGTCAGATCCTAGAAGTTTGACTTCCGGGTGGGATGTGACGTCTGCAATGTCGTGGGGGGCTTCGTGGAATCAGGGTTTTATGTTTTTAGGTTGTATGTTTGATAGCACGTATAGGCTCTTGAATGCACACATGCCTGCATACACACTCCAGGAGGAGCCATTTCAGTGTCTGTCCACAAGATGTTTGGGTGTCTTCTCTCCTGCCTGCAACCCATGACTAGACCCCATACGGGCTTGTCTGTCATGTCATCTTTGTATGAGGGTGAAAACATGGAGCGAAGGGGTTTCCACAGGAAGGTGAGTGTTTTAGGTTAGGATTCTTCTGCCTAGAAGAGACACTTTGACCACAGCAACTCTTACAAGGAAAACATTTTATTGGGACTAGCTTACAGATCAGAGGTTCAGTCCACTATCATCATGGCAGGGATCATGGTGTTGGAGCTTTTGAAAGTCCTGCATCTTGCAGGCAACAGGAAGTCAGCTGACACACTGGGCAGTATCCTGATCACAGGAAACCTCAAAGCCCTCCCCCACAGTGACACACTTCCTCTAACAAAGCCACACCTACTCTAACAGAGCCACACATGCTAATAGTGCCACTTCCTACGAACTTATAAGGGTAAGTTACATTCAAACTACCACAGTAGGTAAGAGAGAAAACTTTTCTGGGTCTTTCTCAGCTCCCTACATAGTTTGTCCCTGCATGCAGACCCCACCCACCCCAGGGCCTGTACATAGTGCATGTTCCAGCCATGTTCCTAGCTATGACGAGGCATGTCTCTAACTTCACCCAGGCTATTGTAACAGAATGTTACAGACTTGCCTGAAGATGCAAGACCTGGCGTCTGGAGATGGTTGCCTCCTGGCTCCTAGGTGGTATGTCTTATGAAGTGCTAAACCCACCAGGCAGGCTTCATGCTCACAACCTCACCACCCCCTAAAGCATTCTTAGCTACTGTCCTAGGAAGGCTATAAAGGCTCAGGCTTCACGATAGGAACTTCAGGAGGGAGGCATGTGTTGTGGCTCGGGCTTCTCAGCAGAGAACCGTCTACATCCACGCAGCTTTCTTCCCTGGGATCTTAGCACAGAGAGACTTCCTTTAGGACTCAGTGGCCACATGCTTCCAGAATTGCCACCAAGGTCAGGGCTGCTCACCTCTCCAACTGACTTAGGCATGGCTATACAGATTTAAAAGCTCCCAGTCTCTGCTCCAAAGGCTTTGCTTCTGAGGTCTAACCCCGAGGGCCTTACACACCCAAAGAACAGCTGTTGGACACAAAGGCTGCTGTGTGGGCACTGGGCAGCCATGGAGAACAGTTGAGGCCATGAATGTATTTCCTGCAAGTCATCTATGCCGGGTAGGGTGCTGAGAATCACCCATCAGCTTCACCTACCAGGTGCCAGTAGCGTCCCTTAACCGAGTTGTGACAGCCACACCTACCTCCAGTTACGGTCCAGTGTTCCCACATACCTGCTGTCTGTTGAGCTGGGCTGTACAGAGGTTCACAATGATGCCACCTGTGATGGGAAACGGTATTCCCTGAGTGGTGGCCAATGTAAGTCACTCAGTCACACCCCATGTAGACAGTAGACTTCTGTGCAGATGACAGGGTATGTGGACGCTGATTTATAAGCATGTCCAAGAGACTCTGAGGAGAAGAGCCTTGAGAATCCACTTGTGCTGCCTTTTAAACTAACCTCATATACAAAGAGCAGACACAGAAGATGTGGTTGATCATCACAATGTCATCACCATGTTGACTGAACTTGGGGTCCCTTAGGAGACACCTGGGTAGTCTGTGGGGGCATTCCCAGTGAGCCCTAACTCTCCAGGGGGTGGGAGAAGACCCACACACCCTGAAAGTGGCCAGCACCGTCCCAGAGCATCCAGACATGACGAAAAGGAGAAACTGAGCAGAGAGAGCCAGGTGTGCCCGTGTCCTCCTCCCTGTTTCCTGACTGGATACTGTGACGGCTGACTAATGTTCCCACCATTAATGTTCTCACCATGCCTTCCTTGCCACGATGGATTGGACTCTCCAACCGTCAGCCAAAATAAACCCCGACCTTGCTTCCTCTCGGCTATTTTGCCACAGCAAAATCAAACAATGCAGAGAAGACACATGTTTCTAACTTGAAATGATAGGACCAGCCAGCTGTATAGTTCTGGTACTTAAAATGGCCATTGCAGAGGTCATCAGGTCAGAGAGGCCGTGGCCGGAGATGGAACGTTCAGAAAGAGTAGTTGCAAACTCTGCAGAGGACGCCATGCATGCAGTGGAGGACCGCTGGGTGCATGGTCCTCTGTGGATGTGTGAAAAGTGCACGCCATTTGAACCCCATTTGGTGTGCAGAGAGGACTAAGTAAAGGCCCCTTGGATAGTTCAAGACTCACCTGAACTTGTCACTGTGGTGAATCCACAGAACACCCGGTTGTGGTGATGTTTTATTTATGGTTCAATAAATAAGGCTTGCCCGAAGATCACAGTGCAGAGCTAGCCCCAACTGCCTGGCCTCTATGGCTGACTTTGCTAGCTCTGCACTCTGACTTTGAGGCAAGCTTTAATTGTTAAACCACACTAAATATCACCATACCTCCTTTCCTGGCAAGCAGGGGCTCTGGGCTGGAAAATCCATGCTTTGTGGTCAGCAGGTGGCGCCACACACACATACATGCATGCACGTGCACACATGCACAAATGCACAGGCACACACGCACACACACATGCACATGCACATGCACATGCACATGCACACCTACACATACACACGCGCGCACACACACACACACACACACACACACACACACTGGGCTGCAGAAGTTTATGTTCTGATCTCTGGGACTACCTGGTGGGCATCTGAGGTGAGGATGAGGGAGGAAGAGGCTGTGATTGTCCTTGCTGGATACCAAGTAGCAGAGATGTCAGGGTGGGACTCGTGGCCAGTGAGGGTCACAGGCAGTTTGTACCCCCTTGGTTTGGGGTTTCACTTTGGAGCTGGTGCTTGGCCTTCTTGTGTGGGCTGTTGCCTCTACGGATGACATCCTGATGTGGCAGGTTCTATGCTGTCCCCTTCTCTCTGAGGCAGAGGGAAGGGCACCAGCTGGCCCACTGAATTCCAGTCTTAGACCAAACGCAGGCTTGTAGTTCTCCTCCTCATAGGCGTCGTGTGTGCGTGTGTGTGTGTGCGTGTGTGTGTGTGTGTGTGTGTGTGTGTGTGCGTGTGTGTGTGCGTGTGCGCGCGTGTGTATGCATGTTTCATGTATGAAGACAGAGGAGGGTGCTGGGTCCCCTAGAGCTGGAGTTATGGGCAGTTGTGAGCTGAAGGACATGGGTAACTGAGAAGACACCACAGTCTTACGTGCTGAGCCATCATTTAATTCCTTTGGATTTGTACTCAGGAAGGACACACTGGGCGCATGATAACTGTGCTCGTAAGAGGCCCAGGCCTGGCTGGACTGATCTGAATTGAGGTTCTTCCTTTCTCTACTCTTGGCCAACCCTCCTGTCGTCTGCCCTTCCCCTGGCAGCCATTTCTGGTGGGTGAGGACTGGTGTCCCCTGTGATGTGATTCAGTTTTCCTGGTGTGTAGTGATGAGGCTGGTCTTTGCATGTAAGGACTTTGCATGGGAGGTCTGTGTCTTTTGTATGTGTGTCTGTGTGTTTGTGCCTCTGGAAGCCAGAGCTGGCCGTGGTTGCCTCTCTCACTTGCGCTCCACCTTTTGTGAGATGAAGTCTTTCACTGGCCTACGGCTGACCGACTGGGCCAGACAGGCTCGCCTGTAGCCT